GTATCCTGCCAAGGATACATCTTAAAATGTTTTAGTAGTCACAAGGGTATCTCTAGGTCATACATAGAAGTGAGCAGTGAATGGTTTTCAAAGGGACTAAAAATAACACAAGATATTTTGATTCTGGTCTGCAACATTTTTAAAAATATCTTTTAAACAACTTTTGTTGTTTTTTGAGGTGGGATTTTTCTATAAAACTATGCTGTCTTGGAACTTACTAGTGGTCCAGTCTAGCCTCAAACTGACAGAGTTTCACCTGCCTCTGCCTCCAGAGAGCTGATGTTAATGGTGTGTGCCACGATACCTGGCTTAAAATTATATTTATTGGATATGTTTATTTTTATGTATAAATACGTGCAGTGCAGACAGAAGCCAGAAGAGGACTTTGGATCCCCTAGAATTGGGGATGCTGGGAACTGAATCTAGGGTCTCTAAAAGACCAAGTTCTTCTTAACTGGGTAATTTGAAGTTTTGTCCCATAGAACTATGGGTATGGTTTGTTTGTTTGTTTGTTTGTTTGTTTGTTTTCCTCAGAACTTCAGTTTATAAAGAAAGGTTTATTTTGTCTCGTGGTTTTAAAGATTTCAATTCATGATTGGCTGATTCTGTTGCTTTGGATCTGTGGCAAAGCAGAGCACCCTAGTAGGTGTGTATGGTAGAGAAAGGCTATTCACCTTATGGCAACCAGGAAATAGAGAAAGGGAGGAAAGTGAAGTTAGGATCCCCACATTCCTTTAAGGACTTATCTTCAGTAAACCTTTTCCCAGTAGACTTCACTTTTTTACCACCTCCCAGGAATGCCACAGACTAATGACAAAGTCTACAACATAAACTTTGAAGCACACTTAGGGTCCAAACCATGTTAGGACCTCTATGTTAAAACTAGACAACAGAAAACAGAAAGTAATGGCTAATAATGTTTATTATTAAAAGTCTATCATTATTATGGCAGTTTTATTTAACCCGTTATCAAACAATAAAAGACACAGACACCAGATAGATTGTAGATAAGCCTTATTTTACCTGTGGCTGGGCAGATATAAACTCCCTAAAGCTATCTTGGTTACCACCCAGCCCCACATCCCATGCCACTGTTCTAATCATTCCTATCTGAGCTATTCCCCATCCAGTATCCCCATAAATACTTGCTTATGCTCTCCATCCTCTTCTTTCCATGCCGTACCTCCGAGTTCTCTGTATCTCCAAGGTCTTCTCCCAGCCCACGTGGTCTTTACCTCTCCTATGGCAACTCTGCTTCCTTCTTCTCCTCCTGTACCTGTCTCTCTCCTTCCTGTGATCCTTCTTTCTCAAAGCCCTCGAACTTTAGCTCCACCTCTCACTTCTGCCCTGCCCAGGCGTGTAGGCCTTTTTATTAGCCAATCAACTTTAAATTAGGTAGAGCAAGGTTTCCACAACAAGGACAGGTGTACATGGGAATGTTCTTCTCAGGGTAGCAACCAGATCTTGGGGCAGTAATTAGTATTAGAATGCATAGCACCAACCAACCCCCAGCAGTGAAATACATACTTCTCTGTACTGCACAGCAGCTCCCAGTCAATCGGTAGTTTTGAACGGCTCCAGAGATGGCTCAGTTATTAAGAGTGCATATATTGCTTTTCCAGAAGACCTGAGTTTGATTCCCAGCACCGGTGTTGGGAGGCTAAAAACCACTTGTAGTTCTATCTCTTCGTCTGGCCTCCATGGGCACCCACACACATATAAATAAAAATCAAAGGTTTTTGTTGTTGTTTTTAAGCTTTGAAACATTTTTATACCACTGGGAATTGAACTCAGAGCCTCTCAGGAGGTAGGCGAGCAGTCTGTCTCTTAGCTACACCCCAGCTCTTTTAAATTTTATTTTGAGGCAAAGTCTCATTAACTTACCAAGGCAGTCTTCAAACTTGTGATTCTCTTGCCTCAACTTCCTCAATACCTGAAATTATGAGTGTGCGTGATCATGCCTAGCTTTAAATTTTTGTTACAGGTAATTTCAAATATATTAAACTAGGGAAAATATGATATGTATAATGTAATGAGTTTCCATTATTAATTGTATTTTAGCAATTTTAAGCTGATGGCCACATTTTACCCTTATCTTTCACTATCCCAACCAGATTATCCAAAAATCAGGCATTTTATCACGCTAAATGTAAATATTTTGATGTGTATCACTTAAGGTAAGAATGCTTTTTTTTCCATTTCTGTTTTCTTTATCCCTTACCAAATCTTAACAACATCCACACATATTCCCCTCTCCGTTAAGTTGAGAACTTGTACCTTTTCACTTAAAGGAAGCACATCATGGCTTCCTGTTGGTATGTCCAAATTGCCAACATTATTTTAAGTACAGTAAGGGTTACTCAAACACAAGCAATACAAGAATTGATCTGAAAGTATTTTTAAACCACATTGTGCCCCGGGTAATGGAAATCCCAGAAAAGTGAAGCCTCCAGTAAATGTTATAAAAAGCCTGTCAGTATCTTTTTTGAGATAGGATCTTACTGTGTAACACTGGGTGGCCCAGAACTTGCTATGTAGACCAGGTTGACCTTAAACTCACAAAAATGTATGTGCCTCCTGAGTGCTGGAATTAAAAGCATACACCACCAGCCTGACAATTTTATAATTTCTAAAATGAGCGAGTGTATAACATGAAGACCATGATACTCACTGTCTGCTCTAGGCTGTGAAGAGGTGAAGGAATAGCATCCGGATCTAGAAGTAGATAGTTGCATATAGTGTTATAATTAAATGAATAATATTTAACACCTGCATTATCCAGATGGTGTTTTCAGTAGTATGACAACTTTTATTATCTTCTCTTGGTAACTATGTTAAAGCAATCATCTTAAAAATGAAAATAATCTTCTTGGCAGGTTGGAGTCTTCTAGGCAGCTTAGTTGGTCTGAGTCTCTTCTAGGCAATTTAGCTGATCTGCCCCTTCCAAGTGGCTTATCTTGTCTGAGTTTCTCTCAGCAGTTCTCACTAATAAATTTTGAGAGAATAGGACCTAGTAAGTCTGGTCAATTACAGATATCTGAGAGGAAACTGGCTGTATCTGAGATTTAGGTTTCAGGTTTTGGGGGGTGGGTTTTTTGTTGGTAAGAAGGCAAAGAAGGCTTGCTTAGGACTAATCAAAGGGCCCTCTATAGTCTGACTGGGCGCCTCGGGTTCTGTAGTGGGGTCTGTTCTCAGTGAGACTGACCCTTGGCAGTCTCAAAGTGAGCTGTATGTGCACTAAGGTAGGATTTGGCCTTGATTAAGCCTCCTTTTTTTTTTTTTTTATTAAAATTTAAAGTTTTGTACGTTTTATTTTTTTAAATTTTATATGAATGCATGTTGTGCTTTGAATGAGAATAGCCCCCATAAACTAATGTATTTGCATATTTAGTCCCTGGTTGGAACTGCTTGGAAGGTGTGGCCTTGCTGGATCATGTGTCCTTGTTGGAGGAGATGTGTCACTGGGCTTGGAGGTTTCAAAAGCCCACGCTAGGCCGTCTGTCTGTCTGTCTCTCTTTCTTTCTCTCTCTGGCTCTCTGTCACCTGTGCATCCAAGAGTTTCCTTGGTCATGGTGTCTTTTCACAGCAGTAGAACAGTAAGGGTGTGTGCATGTGTGTGTGTGTGTGTATGTGCATGTGTGCATTATGAACATGCCATATTACATGTGTAGAGGTCAGATGACTATTTGCAGGATTTTGTTTTTCCCTTTTACCATGTGGGTGGATTGAACTCAGATCATCAGGGATGACAGTAGCCACTGAAGCCATCTCACCAGTCTGGCCTGCCTGCCTTCTTTATCACAGGACTTTGCTTTTCCAGCCCACTGATGTAGCTCAGGCTGGCTTACAGTTCTTCTGCTTCAGCCTACAAGGGCTAAGATAATAGGCAAGTTCAGCTAAGAGTTTAAATGCCTTATAATAATTCATTTTTATCCCATATTGATTCCACAGCTAAAACCAGAATGTTGGGGATACTGTATCTTAATATATCTGTTTATAGTAACTATTATTTCAAACCCCTCCTCCCACCAGTCAGATAATTCCTAAGATTCTAAGTGACTTTTTTCTGCTCCTACTCTGTTCATGTTTTCTAAAATTTTACTTTTATAAACAACAACAAACTAGATGAGAAAAGTTCATGAGAAGAGTACTAACACCTAGGGAAGGGCCCTTGATAAAGAGTTTATAGTCTGAGCAGAGAGAACGCAGATGAGACAGAAATTCTGCTGTGTATTCAAAATAACGCCTGACACAGCTAGAACACTTTGTAAATATTAACTCTCTCTGATTCAACAATCCTATGATAGGTATTTTAGCAAATGGCAAAATAAAAAGATAAAGTTATGTGTCTGTATCCAGAAATAAACCAGAAAAAAAAATTTGAAATCCAAAGTAGATATTCTTCTTTTATGTCTTTCCTCCTTGAGACAGAATCTCACAGCCTAGACAAGCTTCAAATTCACATTGTAGCCAGTCAAGACTAGCCTCAAACTCCTCATCCTTCTGCCTTTACCTCCTGAGTGCTGGGATGATGTGTGTGTGCTATCATACCTGGTCACATCTTCACCTTTTACTGAAACAGTACAAACATCCTTCAAGTAGCACAGTCTAAGTGTATTAAGGAAAAAACATTGTAATAGCTAAAAATATGAAAACTAAATTAATCAAATAAACAGGTAAGTTAAAACCAATTAGGACCTTGAAAAGTGTTTTTGTTTGTTTGCTCAGGATGAGTGAATATATATTTAAAATATTCTACAATACCAGAATACTCCCCCTAAGATAGGAAAAAGTCAGTGTCCTAAAATGGAGAGCCTTGGCTTTCCCTAGTTTTGAACTCTGTAGTTTGGGGGGGGGGGGATGTTTACAAGTTATGCTAAAGGGTGTAGGAGAAGAAGAACAATTCAAAACTGTAATTCAGTGGATTTCCCTTTGTAGCCAAAAGTAATATGAAGGAGTTAATAGAAGTGTATGTCAAAGACCTCTTTTTTTCCTAGTAGGTGTGGTGCTTCCAGAAGAAACAAACAGATCTTCTTATTGCCTTTTATAAGGACAAAATTACAAAGTTAGAAGCAGCTGTGAAGGAAGCCCAGCAAACGGTGGCCAGCCAGAATACGTAAGTGCCAAGTCAAATCTCTAGCCAGCATCTTTTCTTTCTTTTAGTATAGATATAGTCCTTTCTAAATGTAAGGACTGACAATTGCCCTCTGTTCATATTTGTCTTAAGAAAATCATCTGCAAAATTTTTGGTTGTTCAGTTGGTCTCTCTTAAGTTTTTTTCTTTCTTTACTCTAAGGACCCTCTTTACTGTGTATCAAAAATTTCTTCAGGGAAGCCAGATATAGCTGACTCACACTGATAACACTGAGATATAATATTTAAAATGTTTCTGTGGAGGGAGTGTATTTTGGAAATCTTAAGCTAAAAGACAGAATTGTTGGGGCTGGAGAGATTGCTCAGCAGTTAAGAACACTGGCTGTTCTTCTAGAGGACCTGAGTTCAATTACCAGCATCCACATGGCAGCTCACAACTACCTGTAACTCCAGTTCCAGAAGATCTAAAACCCTCACACAAACATACATGCAGGCAAAACACCAGTGCACAGGAAAAAAAAAAAAAAAAACTAATTAAAAAAAGACAGAATCCTTGTTGGAAACTTAACATTTTTCTTGAATGTTTATTTATGCATGTGTATTGTCCTCTGACCTCTACATGAATGCCAGGTCAAAGGACAACTTGCAGAGTTGTTTTTCTCCTACCACGTGGGTTTAGGGGATTGAACTCAAGTCTTCAGATTTGGTAGCAAGGCCTTTTTCAGCTGAGCCATCCCGAAGACCCAATTGTTGGAAGTTTTCACACATCAACAGTCTAACAGTGTGTGTGATGAAGAAATGGAATTCTATCCAAAAAACCCTTGAAGTCATACCAAGTTAATGCTTATTTTGCTCATTTGTTTTTATCACAAAACACTGCCATTTTCTTCCTGCATCACCAGATCCCTGATGGAAGTACCTTTATGTCTGCAGACACCCCTCAGTAAGCATTAACTAGTGATCTGGACCTGATTGTTTCCGTCTTTTGCCTAGAGAGCTATCAGAATTGAGAAAGGAGAATAGAGAACTGAAGAAATTTCTAGCCATCTTAAAGGTGAATGAAATAGATTTTTTTCCTTGTTTTGGTATGGTGTTTCTAAGCATCAAAATCAGGGCCTTCTACATGCTAGATAAATGCTCTGTCACTGAGCTACATCCCCGTGGGTCTCACTGTGTAGTCCAGGCTTGAACTTACATTGTAATCCAGGCTGGCTTCAAACGCAGGGTCCTTCTGTCCCAGTCTCCTGAGTATATGCACTATGATCCACGACTGTTCCCAGCTGAAGGAGGTTCTCTTTACCACTATTTTACCTCCTGCCTTGTCTGTCTTTCTAGATGGCTCTATAAACAGTGCTTCCCAGCAAACTCATAATATTTGTACAAGAAGCACACTGTAGTAAATGAATAAGGGTACAGAAGAACTTGGAGAGTTGAGAGAATCAATATTGAGCACATTTTTGAACCATTCTGAAATATCAGTGAGTCATGCTGTAACTGATGGGAAGCTCTCATCAAAAAGCATGTTTCAACTTAACATTTCTCTTGAAGAAGTCCAAAATGCCTCAGTATCCTTTCAGTGTTGTTATTTTGGGTTTTTGTTTTTAACTCTTAAAACTTCATTATTATTATTATTATTGTTAGTTCGTGAATGTATATGTGTATAAGATCTATGATGTGTATGTGATGTGTGATATGCGTGAGTATGGGTGTCAGTCAGAGGGTAACTTTAGGGAGTCACTTCTCTCTTTCCACCATGGAAATGAAGGGCCAAATGCAGGTCAGGTTTAGACAGCATGCATTTTTACCCACTGGACCTGACTGTGAACTCTGTATAATCAAGGCTAGCCTGGGACTCCTAAGTGTCTTGCCTTCACTTCCTTAGTACAAAGATTACAGTATGTGCTGAATGCCTAGCTTCCCAGTATGCTTTTATTTTAAAAAACTAAATTTTTATTCTCTCAAAGCTGATAATTTTCTAAGGAAACATATTTTTTGTTCTTTTGATTGCAGCCTTAGCTAGGAGAGTTTGCAGGTAAATTATCTAACAAATAAGACTAAAATCCATTAATTAGAACCTTCAACTATAGCTTCCCTCACTTCCGTTTTTTCATTTACAGGGATCGCCAAGCTGCTACTACAGAAGCAGGTTGGTTTTTACTAATCTAGCCCTCTACCTTGAAATTTTCTGATTTGTTCTTCCAAACATTTTCAGTTGTATAATTGTACATATATGTATGATGGTGTGATTCATTTGTCAATATGTAATGATCAATTCATGGTACCTAGAGCATTTCCTTCTCTTCCTCGTCTTCTTTTTTTTTTTTTTTTCTTTTTCTTCTGGTTTTTCAAGACAGGGTTTCTCTGTGTAGCCTTGGCTGTCCTGGACTCCCTTTGTAGACCAGGCTGGCCTTGAACTCACAGAAATCCGATTGCCTCTGCCTCCCTGAGTGCTGGGATTAAAGGCGTGAACCACCATGACCTGCATTTCTCTCTTCTTAAATCCTTAACCTTTTTCTTATGTTGGGAAGCATTTAACAAGTTTTCCTTGACTCTAGTTGTGTGGGCTCTAAGATGGATAAAATGGTTGATGAATTTATCTTTTACTTTTCTTATTCTCTGACAGAGTGGAATCTTTTTGCTTTGGGTTCCCCCCCCTCCCCCCCAGTACTAAGGACTAGAGTCTTGTGAATACTTTGAGTGAGCTATTTCACTCACGAACTACCTTTTCCCTCACTTTTTTTTTGAAAGAGAGAGGGGGATCTCACTATGTACCCCTAGCTGGCCTGGAACTCACAAAGATCTGACTGCCTCTGCTTCCTGAGTGCTGGGATTAAAGGTGTGCCACCATGTCTTTCGCCCCTACAGTTCCCTTTTGACTTATCATTTTGAGACAGTCTCATTAAGCGACCTAGGCTGGTTTTGAACTAATGATCGAGGCTCCGGCTCTGAGAAGCTGGGATTACATGTGCTGCTATGCTCAGCTGTGAAGTGAAATCTTGATGGAATGTTCACCTTTGATTACTGTCTAATAAATTCCTACTAATCCTTCAAAAATCTAACATGTATCACTTCCTCTGTAATGACTATATCAAATGGAGTTGGAATTTGTTCATTCAATAAATATTAATTCAGTAAGTACTATTTATCTATGTAAGTAATGGGTGCACAATACCAAGTCTTTCTGATTAATGATGTCTTTGCCCTACCAGCCACTAAATATTTTTAAATGGTGAATGTGTTCAAAAGATACAGCACTCCTGTAATCACTCCTAAAGCACTATCTAGTCTTCTTTCAAATTTCTGTATTTTTATATATCTAGAATAATACACAAACATTGTTGTGCTTGGGTTTTTCAGTTTTGTTTGTTTGGTTTTTTTTCTTTGTGGTCCTGGCATGTCAAATCTCAGGTCTTAATAAGCAAGTGCTCTACCACTGGGTTCTATTCAGGACAGGTTCTTACCTTCTTGTTTAGTAGCCTATGAATCTCTCATAGCTAATTGTTTTAATCGAAAGGCATAGAACATAGACATCTTATATAAATGTTTATTGAATGGATGGCTGTGGCTGAATGGATGAATGAATTAATAGTTGTAAGGTTGAGAGTAAGATGCTAAGGAAGGAAGAAAGAAAAAACTCTGGTATCACATTATGAATGAGAGAAGTGGAGGAAGGTTCCCCTGGAGAACTGGAGAGTAAGGGACCTCACAAAGAAACTTCCCTTCTGTCTGTAGTAATGATGCCTTTACTACTGGGGATAAAGTTTCTGTGCTTAGAGAAGAAGCAACTGTTTTATTCTTTCTCTCTTGCCATTTTTTCTTCCCCTTCTCCCTACCTTTTAAAAGAGCTTATTTTTAATTATGTGTGTGCACATGCATGTTTGTGCACACGTATGGATGTGTGTCTGTATGTGCGCACCCTTGAAGGCAAGAAGAGAGTATCAGGTTCACTAGAGCTGGAGTTAAAGGCAGTTGTTAGCAGCCAGACTTGGATGCTAAGAAACGAACTGAGGTTCTCTGCAAGAGCAATCCCTGCCCTTAACCACTGAGCCATTTCTTCAGCCTTAAAGCTACTGTTTCTGTAATCAATGACTGACTCTGTTGTGGCCTCTAATTCTGCCTTTTCTTTTTGTTTTCTTGTAGGTTAACCACACCTCGACCAGTGGGCATTACTTCTCCATCACAACCAGGTGAAAACTAATTATTTCCAGATATCTGTGTGAAATGAATAAATATATTTTTCTCATATGGAAGTTGTTTCTTTCTGAGGGACCATAATATGCTTTTGCTAATCTTACATATAGTGTACAAAACATGGTATAGCCAGATGACCACCAAAACAAGTTAGCCAGACAAGGCAGAGTGCACCATTGATGGCAATTTTTCCTACACTTCATGCTTTTTCAGTTGCTCCACGACCCAGTTCCCAGCATAGCAGCCAAGTGGTCAGGTGAGTAGAACATTAAAACTGTTGACAAAGTTGGAAGAATGAATGAGGTGGCTCAAAGAAGAGAATTACTGCCATGTCAAATTTAACACCAGTGTTCTGTGTCTGTTTTCTTTTGTTTGTATTCTTGTTTTGTGTCATTTTATACAGCCGCTCTTCTTCTATGGAGTCTATTCCTTGTACAATGGGTAGCATTGGTAATGTGGGTCAGGTAAGTAATAGTCACATTATTTTATATATTGAGTCTTGCTTAATGAAAGCAAGACTGTAATTGAAGAATCTTAAATGTGTATTGTTTTGGCACAGTTTTTTTCATGCCATGTGGAGCCTATTTTGGGTACTCAGTATTAGAAAATGACACAGAATCAACAGGGGTGGCTGTAGTGTAAGTGTTGTAGAATTGAATGCCCGATATCTGTCACATTGATTTTGGAAGTAATAGAGCATAGGTCCTGCTTAAGAACCATATGCCCAACTTGCGAGAATAACTGTATATGTGAATGGATCATTACTGAGAAACAGTGGGGAACTGGAAATGTAAAGAACCAGGGTATAGTAATTAATGGTCATTATTTTTCCGTCAGGGAAGCAGAGGCCTGCAGGAAAGGAGCACGCCCAGAGACTCGTATACTGGTGAGAGAGGATAGGGGTGTCTTTAGTCAGTGTATTCTGTCTAGAGACTAAAAATTTCTAGTGTTCTATGAATAATATAGGGCTCTTTTACTTTTTTTTCCTGGAAAATGACTTCAAGTATCCAAACATGTACTGCAGTTTTTCAAGTAATGGTATTTTTGTTCTGAAACAGAAAGTGAGAAATAAAAAGTTGAGGGATAGCCATTGAAAACTCATCAAAGGCTTACCTCAACAGGTGATAGCTTTCTAATCAGAGTTTGATTTCCCCCATCACACAGAAAGATGAAAGGAGAAAACCAACTAAAATAATGTTTTCTGGTCTTTACTTGTATACCAAATACACACAAAAAAACTCTGATCAGAATAACTGATTTGAATTTTCAAAATTGCCACAAGATGGCAGTAGAAATTAAGTCTAAAGGGCAAGTTAACAAACTGTCACTTTTGTAATGATGGCAACTTATTTCTACATTTGTGTGCCCTAACACACATGTGGAGTCAGTTCTCTCCTTTCACCCTTATGTGGGTTCCAGGGATTAAACTCAGGTCATCAGGCTTGAGCAACAAGTCCTTTGTCTGCTCAGCCATCTCACCAGCCCACAAAACATCAGTTCAAAACCTGAAAGGTGTGTGTTTTCTCACTGCTGATTAAGGGGAGAATGTGGGCTTTGTTTCTGGTAACAATTTTTCTTAAAGTTTTGCTTTGTGTGTTTCTAGTACAGTCACTCCATTTTCTTGTTTGCTTTCTTCTTGTGTGGATTTGGTGCTGGGGATTGACCCTCAAACATACTCCTACTGAGACACATATACATTCTTTTCCTTCTTTCCTTCATTTTTTCCTTCTCATTAATCAGTGCGGGAGCTCAAATACATACTAGGCAAATGTTCTACCACTGAACTCTATCCCCAGCCTGATTTGATTTTCTGTAAATTTTTCTTTTAACTTAGAGTGTGTACACATGTATGCATACCAAACCATGACATAGGTGTGGATGTCAGGAGACAACTTTGTGGAGTTGGTTCTCTCCTTCCATCTTGGGTGGTTTCTGAGGGTTGAATTCAGGTCAGCAGGCTTGAGCACCATTGGTACTGCTTTTCTGCCTTTTTATTGGAAACTTTAATACAGTTATATTCACTGTAATTGCTGATAAGAAAGAACTGCCATTTTGTTACTTCTTTTATATATGTCATCCTTTTTCCTTTATTACTGCCTTCCTTTGTGTTAAATTGTTTTCTAGTGTAGCTCTCTTGTTAATTTCTTTTACTATTTTCAAAACTGTTTTGAGATTACAACTAACATAATTTATAAAAACACTATTTAAAATTAATACATTTAACATCAATACTATGGCAAAACTTCATAGTTCTGTTAAATTATATACTCAGAAACACAAATTTTAACTTACTGCCTTATGCAGTTGTCTATTAAATCTGATAAGGGGGAGCTACCAAGAAAAAATGCACTTAATCTGTCTTTTGTTGTATTTACTTCTATAATAATCTTTTCTGCATTTGAGTTACTAATTAGTGCCCTTTCATTGCAGCCTGAAAGACTCCATTTAGTGTTTCTTCTAAGGCAAGTTTGAGAGTAATAAGCTCACTGTCTAAATTTTTGTTTTTGTAGGAATATCCTAATTCCCTTCAGTTTGGAAAGAGAGTATTATTGGATATAAGTTTCTGGTTCATAATCTTTGGAAACTTTGTGTGTTCTCTCTGGTCCTTGGTTTGTCTGATGAGAAAGTTAATCTTGCTGAGTATTAATTGTGATGAGTGGCTTCTCTTTAGCTACTTTTAAGACTCTTTGCCAGGGAAAGGGCATGTGGCTCAGCTGGTAGAGTGCTCATATAGGATGCATAAAGCCCTGACTTGATCCTCAGCATGCCATAAACTTGACATAGTGGCACATACCTATAATTACAGCGCTGCAGAGACTGAGGCTGGAGGATCAGGAGTTCAAGATCATCTTTGGCTATATCCTGGGCTACTTGAGACTCAAGAAAACAACTTCAAGTAACCTTTGGCTGTTATGATAAGAAGGGAACTCTCAGAGAATACTCCTTTTTTTTTTAAGTTAATTGGTGTTGCACACCCTGGCAGCTTTGTTTTTGGTTCATTTTAGAGTCAGGATTTCTTTACAAAGCTCTGGTTGTCCTGGAATGTACTATGTAGACCAGGCTGTCCTCAAACTCACAGAGATCTGCCTGCCTCTGCCTTCTGAGTGTTAGGAATGAAGCATACACCACCATGACTGGTAAGTTTTGTTTTCTGAGACAGGGTCTCACTGTTTGGACCAGGCTGGCCTTGACCTCAAAATTATTCTGCCTCATCTTCCCAAATACCAGGAGAGATTCTGAGCATTTGCCACAATACCTCGTTGCTTCTTTTAAAAAAAATTTTTAATACCTTTTAACTTTTTATCAGTTCTCCATCTTTCAACTTTACTTCACTTTAAACCAAAAGATTCTCTGAAAATTTTTCAGTCTTCTCACACAAGACCTTCAGCCATTTTCCAGTGTTGATCATTTTAACCCTTTCTTGAAATAATTTCCCACTTTTCTTTTTTATTTTAAATTACAAATTTCCCTTTGACTTCCCTGGCTTCTTCTTCATAGTCTCCTTTGCTGGTTCCTTCTCTACCCAAGTGTAAAACAGTACTTCTCAAATGTTTAGGGCTCCGTACGAAGGACCTCAATCCTGGGGATGTTTTTTAAAATGAAGAACATCATGGGTTTTGTTTTCTATTTAGGCCAGAGTTTGACTTTGAGTGTCTTCCTCAATCACTACTCCCCTCATTTTAAAACATGCTTTATTGGGGCTGGACAGATGACTCAGCAGTTAAAAGCACTGGCTGTTCTTTCAGAGGTCCTGAGTTCAATTCCCAGCAACCACATGGTGGCTCACAACCATATGTAATGGAATCTGATTTCCTCCTCTGATGTGTATGAAAACAGAACACTCACATATGTACAATTTAAAAAGTACAGCCGGGAGCTGTGGTGCACTGCCTGTAATCCTAGCACTCAGGGAGGCAGAGGCAGGAAGGTTTCTGTGAGTTGAAGGCCAACCTAGTCTATATAGAGTTCCAGGACAGCCAAAGCTATACAGAAAGACTGTATACACCTGCTCCAAGAAAAATGTTTTAATTGTATTTACTAGTTTATTTATTGTGTGCACATGTATGTGGGTACAGATGTGCCACAGTGTACATGGAGAAGTCAAAGGGCAACTTTTGCGAACCGGTTCTCTCCTTGCACCGTGTGGGTTCTGAGGATCTCACTCAGATCATCAAGGTTGGCATCAAGTGCCTTGCCCACCGTGGCATCTCACCAATACATTCACCTTACTTCCTTAATTTCTTTCCTCCCCTCCCCTCTCTCTCTCTCTCTCTGAGGCAGGGTTTCATTGTGTATCCTGGAACTTACTCTGTAAACCAGCCTGACCTCAAATTCCAAAGCTCCGCCTGCTCTGCCTCCCCAGCACTGTGATCAAAGTATTCACTGCCATACCCAGATTTTTAAAAAATATTTATTTGATAATTTTATACTTACATACACACTTACATATCTTGATCATACCCACCACCAATCACCCCCAGTCCTCCCTCCCACTTTCATGTTCTTTTCTTTATCTATACGGTCCGCTGAATTCAATTAGCCCTGCCTACATGAACATGGGCAGCCTACCAGCCACATCCCCAAAGAAAAAGGACAGCCCTTCATTTGCGAATGACTCCACAGCTGAGTGAAGCTTTGCAGCCCCCTTCAGAGTGCAGTTGTTTACTGCTTTCATCTCGTGCAGCAGCCGGCGGCACGCCCTCCCCATCCCCTAGCCCTTATATCTCTCATCCCATCTTTCTTGGTGTTTGCTGAACCTCGTGGGTGCCATCCATTTTAATTTGTTACACAAGGTCTTTCACTTGAGCTTGCCATTTCTGGTACAGAATCCTAGTGAACCATTGTGAATCCTAGTGAATCCATTCTGCTGGCTACAGAATCCTAGTGAACCAATTGTCTCTTGTCGTCCCCCCCCCCCCCCCCCCCGTGATGTGGTTGCAGCCTCACACTCTAATGCCATGCGCCCAGGTTTTATGTGGCTGCTGGGATCCCAGATGCAGGTCCTCATGTCTCTGCAGCAAGCACTTTACCTGCTAAGCCATCTCCCCTCCCCACTCCCTGCCCCTACTGGTTCTTTTCCATATGGTTTTCTTTCTCAGTCTGATAAAGCACCATTCTCATTCTTTTAGCATATTAATATTACTATTGTATGAAGGTGGGGCAGGCAGGAACTATAATGCTAGAACACACATGTGGCCACATGAGGGTAACTTTTGGGAGTTAGTTCTCTCCTTCTCTCATGTGTTCTGTGGATCACTCAGGCATTCAGGCCTCCACATTTGTGTAGCAAAGCATTTGGTGAGATGACATCTCACTAATGCATTTTTAGTGTTTTAGACATAATTTCCTTTCTTTCTTTAAATGGATTTTAAAAGCATGATTAGATCTTTAAAAATTTCAGGGCCTAGATTATTTATTTTTTCTTTATATGTGCCATAATATTTTCTTTATATGTCACATAATTTCTACACTTTTGGCACTCAGTCATCCAAATGACAACTGTTCCTATAGGCCTTCCTTTTGTATAGCCTCAGGGTTAGTTCAAGGTAAGAGCTTAGTCCTTTTCAGATGCTTCCTGTACTTCTGCACAGGCCTGGGCCTAGATCCTGGACACGTGTTAGAATTTCTCAGAGTTCTCATAGGCACCTCATTTCTTCAGTTTTCGTTTGTGTTTTTCAGTCTATTATTTGCCCCGACCGACAGTCATCTTCTCAAGCAGCCAAAGCAAGTGCCTCTAATTGTTTTCAACAAATACTCCTGGGGAAGGGGCTGGTATTGGTGAGCTCTGACTTAAAAAGACCTGGTGATGTGTAGTTCTAAGTCACATCGAACAACACTCCTGTGTGAGGTATTTCAGGGAACCAGACAGTTGTCTAAAAGTGCAGCTTTGGGGTCCTGGGGAGATGGCTTAGTTGGTCAAGGTGGGCAAGCGTGAGTACTTGTGTTTGAGTCTCCAAAATCCATGTAAAGTCCAGATACAGAGGCATGTGTCTGTGACTCCAGTATCAGGGAGGTGGGCAGGAACGTTTCCTGGAGTGCCAACTGGCCACCCAGATGAACAGAGCTAACAAGCTCCGGACTCTGTAGGAGAGCCTGTCTTCAACTAGGTGCTGGGCTGGGGAGGTGGCCCAGAAGTTAAAGGCTCAGGGTGCTCCTGCTCCCAGCACCCACGTCAGTGGCTCACAATTACCTATCTCCAGCTCTGGGAGATACCATGACTTGGGCACATGTACTCATATACATAATTTAAAATAAACCATATACATATACATACATATACATGCATACCTATACATGGTACGAGCTGGGAGCAGTGAGCACGCCTGAAGTCCCAGCACTCGGGGAGGCAGAGGCAGGCAGATCTCTGTGAGTTCTAGATCAGCTAGGGCTACATAGTGAGATCTTGACTTAAAAACTGTAAAGAGCAATAGAGTGCACCTGACATCAACTTCTGCTCTCCAAATACACATGTATACCTATAAAGCACATTTACAGAGATGGCTGCTCTGAAGAACTCCAACCCCAGTCCATCCCTCTAGTGACTCTCAGACTTGTGTTATACCATGATGATGGCCTTTTGGTTTTCAAAGCTGCCACAGAGCTGGAGGAGGCATGAGTACAGTTGAAAGGTTACAGCATTTGCTGCTTCTCACATTCATTGTTGCTATTTTGTTTTGTTTTGTTTTCTTAATGTACATTCTCCAGATTACCACCAGATCTTTATAATTTCAGGAGTTCTGAAATGATATTCTGACTGCTTTTACAAGCTTTCTCCTTGCCTTGGGTGCTGGGGATCATCTTGGGAGCTCTGACTCGCTCTCTTTTCACTGATATCTCTCCTAGACAGTTTCATGACTCTTGGTCTTCAGCTATAGGCTCAAAGCTGAAGCATAGACACATTAAAGCACATCAAGGCAGTGATGGGTCCTCCAAACTCAAGGAAGTTGAAGAGCACTTTTATGAGGTGCTACTAAGTGACTTACAAGCCTTTTCACGTATTGTTAGCCTTAACCCTAATATATATATGAAAAAATTTTGGCCCCATTTTTTTCTTTTAATTTGGTCCCTGAATCCCTTGTGCATTATCTCAATGGTTTGTATTTCTGCTTTCCAGAAACCCCTTCACCAGCTTCAACTCATAGCCTCTCTTATAGGTAAGTAACATTGCACTTCCTTTTTTGTTTTGTTTATGAGGCAGGGCTTCATATAGTTCATGCTGGCCTTAAACTTACAGGTAGCTGAGGCTGCTCTTGAACTCCTGATCCTCCTGCCTCTGCCTCCCAAGTTCCGAGATCACAGTTGAGCACAATCATATCTAGTTGTCTTGTTTTTCTTTGTAGGGCTGTGTTCACAATGATTCTGCCAGAATTCCCAGGGTTCCTTGTCTAATGGCCAGTACTATTGGCATTTATAATCTTCAGTTTATAAGATGGAGTAGTACTGTCTATAATATGCAATCAGGTTATTTTCTTCTCAGCTGTAGGCAGGGTTTTCTCTCTTCTCTGGCCGAAGGGCTCAATTTTTACATTCACTTTACCTTTTTCTTTTCTTTCTTCTATTGAGTTTACCTTTGTTATTGTTGGTTGGTTGATTACTTTTTGAGACAGTGTCTCCATCTGTAATTCTGGCTATCTTGGAACTCACTACAAGGACCAGCCTAGACTTGAACTTGATTTGATCCTCCTGCCTCTGCAGACCCCCCACCCTAAGATTATAATTGAGATGGTATAATTCTAGCTTTGCTGATGCTTTTATGTCCATTCCTTAGACCTTCATCTGCCTCCTCTGGACAAGGGGTTTCTTTTAGATCATTCCTCAGTGGAAATTCAGGCCACACAAGAGTCTTCACTCCCAGCAATTCAGGTAAGTTAATTGTTGTATATAAAAAATAGCATTGGGCTATATAATGTTTATTATTATTAGTCCTAAGATTATCACATAGTATATTTTAACCTGCTATCACAAATAATAAGACACAGTCACCTATTAGATTTATAATTGCCTTATTTACCTTGGTCAGGCAGATATTCCTACCTGAGCTGTCTGAACCTCATCATCATCCATCTCCCAGCCCCCATCCAATGCCATCTTCCTTAACCATCCTATCTTCCATCCATAATCTTATAAATACTTGCTTTTATTCTTCATCTGGGCCTTTTCACGGCATTATTGGAGTCCTTCTTCCTGCCCCACATGGTTTCTTCTCCAGGCTAACCCATGATGGTGTGCTCCTTCTTCCTCTCTTCCCATCCGTCTATCTCCTGTGATTCTCTCTTGAACCGAAAAGTCTAGGAACCTTAGCCATGCCTACCCCATTCTGCCCTGCCCAGGTATAGGCTGTTTAATCAACCAATCAGATATGTCTTAGGCAGGTTTACAAAACAAAGATAGGTGTAACCAGATCTTAAGGGCCAGTGACATGCATCAGACCAACCTCCAACAGTTACTGTTCTCAATTTTTCTTTACAATGAGGGGAAGGGTCTGAATTTTGCCTGAATAGTACAAACCTGTCACCAGTTGAATCCTGTTATAAACAGGTTGGCCTATGGGATCAGACTGGTTCTTCTCTCCCATCCCCCACAAGTTAGGCATCAAACCCGGGACAAGGACCTTAGTAAAAGTGTGTGATGAGTTTTCTTGCTCCAAGGTCTTGTTATGCAGGTCAGGTAGCCTTCAACCATCTGTGAGGTCCAGGTTTACCTCAGACTTGTGATGACCCTGAATCTACCTCCAAATGTTTTAATTACAGGCATATACCACTAGGTCTGGCTTCTTTTCTACATCTCATGTTGGGATTTGGTAAGAGGGATCAACAGGAAAAGGCTTTCTGTAAAGCCTGATGACATGAGTTTGCTGCCTAGGACCCTCCGGCATAGAAATAGTATGATGGAAGGAAAGAAAACCAACTACTGAGAGTTGTCTTTGGACATCACATGTGTACCATGGCACCCATGCACATGTGTTCTGGTGCACACACATATACACACACACACAAGTAAATAATAAATGTAAAGAATTAAGCTGTGGGTTTTTAGATCCCACATTAAACATGTTGGAAGTTCAGTTCCAAAGGATGTAAAACCCAGTGTCTTGTTTTTGAAGCACCTCTGTTAACCATCCCTGTTGTCATCTTTAATGCTCAAATTGTTATACTGCCTCTTTCCACTTATAATTAAACTCATCTCAGACTGTTCTCTCCACATACCATTACTAGATAGCCATATTGGCATCAGAAAAAAAATAGATGAGATAATTTCTAAAAGTGCTTCGCTAACTTTTTGAGACAGGGTTTATTTCATGTAGCCTAGGTTGGCATGGAATTCCCATTGTAACTGAGGCTAGTCTCCTAAGTGCTGGGATTACAGGTATGTAATTTTTTTTTCTTTTGAGTTGGGGGTCTTCTCTTGTAGCCCAAGCTGGCCTTGAACTGTCTATGGCCAGGTTGATCTCAAACTCAGTTCTTCTGCCTCTACCTTACAGGTATTGGGATTACAGGCATATATGCCGAGGGCTCAGTAGTCTTTCCCTTTCCAAGCAGTGTTCTTTAAGAGCTTACTAGAGGCTATGGCCCACAAGTAACATAGCTGAGAAACTGTCAAAGTCTGTCTTACCCTTCAGGTCAGCTGGAAAACAGATCCACACCAGAGAATCTTCCTGGTTTTCAACTTCCAGTCCTACAGGTGAGGTCTGGCTAGTCTAACTTGTCACTATATAGAACTCTTGAAGTTAGGCCCTTATGCTAAAGGCTGAGGCTCAGGGTGGTAGAAAGTAACCAATGGAGAGTGAGATAGGTGTCACTGTGATAAACTGGTGTCCAGTTTTTCAGGATGGTTTTAGTTTCAATGATTCTATCTTAGTGTAAGATTGCTTTGCTGGGGTTTAGTTTGTTTTGGTTTGGAAGTTGGGGGTATTTTGTTGTTCATTTGTTTTTTCAAAGCAGTGTTTCTCTGTGCAGCTAGACCAAGCTGACCTCAAACTCAGAGATCCATCTGCCTCTGCCTCCTGAATACTTACATTAAAGTTGTACTCCCATCACAGCCCAACTGATTTTGGTGTTTTTGTTTTTAATTCATATAGCAGTAATTAGTCTTGGCCAAAAGCATACTGATATTTCCATTAATTCCATAGCAGAGTTTTTGTTTTGTTTTGGGTACTGGGCCCCTCGTTCACTGTAGGAGAGTACTCTCCCAGGTATCTGTATCTCCAGGCCTTTTTCATGTTAAGTCAGATCTTAGTGAGTTTCCCAGGCTAGCCAGGCACTTGGAATCTTCTTGCATCGGTCTCCCAAACAGCTGTGACTTCAGGCCTGCCCTTTCAGCCTTGGCAACAAAAATTCCTTTTCAATGGAATGCATCTTTTGGACAAACTGGGAAAAGTATTTATTTATGGGACTAATCCTAATTCAGAGAACAAAAGGGTATGGTAGAAGTTTGAGGACATTCACTATGGGGGAAATTCAGTTTTTCCTTTTAATTCTACTTTTGTGTCTTAGGTTTTAGGGGTTTTTGAGGCTATTCTCACTGAAAGTTTTTCATGAACCAAGGAATAACTCCTGGATAGTAAGATTGGGATAATTCAATTGGGATTCCATGATTCAAGATGCCCTTTATTTTATCAGCAAGGAATTGATTTAAGTAGGGTCTGGTGTCAAAGGCCTGTAAATCCCAGCTACTCAGAGAATGAGGCTGGAGGGATCACAAATTCACAGCTGACCTGAGCTGTAGTGTGAGTTTCAGGCCTTAGTAAAACCCTGTCTGAAAGTGAAGATTAGCCAGGTATGGTGGCAGCTACTATAATCCCAGGATTTGAGAAGATGAAATAGGATCACAACTTTGAGGCCATCTCGAGTTACACAGGAAGTTTCAGGCCAGGGTGGCTAGAAACCTGTCTCAAAAGAATAGCCAAATCAGATCTATCTAGGGATATAGGTCAGTGGTAAGCATGCTTGCCTAGCATATACAAGGCCCTAGATGATATCAATCCCTAAAACAAGAGAATAAAAAGATATTAAGGTTTAGTAAAAATTTTTAAATCTTAAGTTAAAAAAAAAAAGCTCCTGGGATGTAGCTGAGTTGGTAGAGTGCATGCCCAGCATACACTAGCCCTGAGTTCAGTTCAATCCCCTGTCCTTCATAAACAAGGTACATGCACTCAGGAGATGGCCCAGATGTTCCAAGGTATCCTTCCTTGCCCACATATCAAGTTCAAGGCCCATATCATAAAGAGAAAAGAGGGTTTTAAATTTTATTTTTGGTTTCTTTGTGTAGCCCTGGCTGCCTAGGCCTCTCGTAAACCAGGCTGACTTTGAACTCACAAAGATCCACTTAAAGCAGTTTCTAGCTCCTCTGAATGGAGGAATCACAGGGCCCTCTCCGGCTCACTGCACATAGGTGGGGTGCGTAGGCCCCCTGGTCATACTTCGGTCTAATAGAGTCCCCTTGTGGTGGAGCACAGCTCCAGCTATGCTTCATCTCCCTCTCAGTGGTTCATTCCATGACTCCATAGAAGTCGAGGCGGGAGTGCTCTGTCCCCGTGGACATATGTGCACTAACTGGGGGCATCAGAACCCGTGGCAATCAGTTTAGCACCACTGTGTGGTCGCTGGGGATTGAACTCAGGAGATTGCACCTCAGGAAGAGACAGGGATTCTCTGAGTAGCCCAGGCTGTCCTGGACTCGATTTCTAGAGCAGGCTGGCCTGGAACTCCCTGAGACCCACCTACCCCTGCCTCCCTGAGTGCCAGGATCACTGGTGATCCTCACTGTGCCTGGTTTTTGTTGTTGTTGTTTGTTTTTTAATCTTTGAAAAAGATTATCTGTGTGAGCACATTTCTGCCCTGTTTTGACTGGGAGAGTTGCAATGACTAAAAGGCACAAACAGGGACTGGCTGGGCTGCTTCTGAAGAGAAGAATGTAAACTAGACTTTTTTTTTTAACTGTAGGGAAGCAGGCAGAAGCCGGAAGAGAGGGGTTTTTTGTTGTTGTTGCTGGTGTTTGTTTTTGTTTTTGTTTTAAGATATTAGGAGCCCAGCATAGTGTCACACACCTGTGATTCTAGCATTTGAGAGGTAGAAGTAGGAAGATTAGAAACTCAAAAGTAGAGTGAGATACTGGAGACTGTCTCAAAACCAACACAAGAAAAAACTGGGGTTTAAGCTGTAAGAAACAACACTGAAGAAACAGCATCCTCTTACAGAACCTCACAAACACAGAGATAAACCTATCAGGAAATGCAAGAGACCTATAAGTACATGGCTCCAAGCTGAACCTTGCTAAACACATTTTTAACTGGGTGTAGTGGTCCATACCTATCATCCCAGCACTTGAGAGATCAAGACAGGAGGATTAGGAATTTAAAATCATCCTAGACTACACAGCAAGTTTTGAGGCGAGCCTGAATTATATGAAACCCTATCTAAAAAACAAAACAAAAAAACCCTGGGTCTATGAGACAGTTGAGGAATCTTAGTCTGTTGGGCACTATTAAAATAAATTTTTTTCTGGGACAGGCTCTCACCTGTAGCTCTGGCTCATCTAGAACTCACTCTGTAGACCAGGCTGGCCTCAAACTCAAGAGAGATCTGCCTGCTTCTGTTTTCTGAGTGCTGGGATTGAAGGTGTGCAACACTATGCCCCGAAGTATTAAAAATCTTTAAACACTGAGGAATATTTTAGGTTTGGTGACTCTGTATTTACACACACACACACACACACACACACACACACACACGAACATACTCATATACATGTAAATATAAAAAAATTTATGGATAGGAAGTTAAATGGTATTTAGACTTTGCTTTAGTATAATAGAAAAAAACAGTAGAATATGTAAACAAAAGATTGGCATGAGTCTTTTGTTGTTGGATGATTGATTCATTATTCTAGTCTATCCTTTAAATACTTCCAGTAATTCTCCAGTGATTCTCAACTTTCCTAATGCCTCAACTGTTTAATGGTTACTTATGTTGTGGTTGTGGTGATCCCCAACCATAAAATTATTTTCATTGCTACATCATAACTGTAATCTTGCTATTGTTGTGAATTCTAAATATCTAGTACACAAGATAGCTGATATGTGACCCTTGAGAAAGGGTCGTTTGACCCCAATGGGTTGAGAACTGCTGCTTTAAAACAACACCTATTGGGACTGGAGAGATGACTCAGCAGTTAACAGTACTGGCTGCTCTTTCAGGGGATCTGAGTTCGATTTCCAGTAACCGATCACAACCCTCTTCAACTTCAGTTCCAGGGGAACTCCAGTGTCCTCTTCTGAGCACAGACATATGCAGCAAAACATAAACATATTTTTTTAAAAAAAATAAAGCACTAATAAATAAAAGTAGTTATTAAAAAATGCCCCATCCCTAGAGGTGTGAGATCTCTGTCTCCCTTGATAATGCCTTTTGATATGATAGTCAAATGTTCCAATTTTCCAAACGTTTCTCAGATAATGGCATTATCATCAGAAAGTGCTGAAATATTCTAAGGTTTCTTGAGTACCATCAAAGCTCTCACCACATAGGATGTGTCTTAGTTTGGGCTGGATATAGTGGCACACCATAATTCCTGTACTTGGGAAACAGATGCAGGCAGATCTCTGTGAATTCAGGGCCTGCATGGTCTACATAGTAAACCTGAGTAGTGAGATTCTGTCTCAAAAACAAATTTTTAGTTTGGAAGTTAGTCATCATACAATGAGGAGAAACCATGGAGAAATAATAGCAGCTGGTTTTGTTCAATTAAACACTAATAGTTGGAAACCTCCTTACTAGTTTGTTTTGTGATTAACATGTGAATCTGTTCTCTGCTGCAGACATTCTACCAACAGAGGCAGATGGGATTAAGCAGGAGAGATGGATGGAGCATTTCCAGATAGAAGTCCCTCTTCCAGGTCTGATCTGTGCGTAGTGCTCACAGATGTACTGCAGTCTAGTACCACTAGAGGATATGAGCTTGGAACATGGTTTTATTGTGCGGCTTGTTCTCTTGAACTTTCTTAGGTATTTTTTTCTCAAACATTTAAAGTTTAAAAAAAATATATTTTGTCTGTGTGAGGATGTACCACTTGCCTATGGATGCCTACAATGCATGTACCCTGGGAGGCCCAAAGGTGGGTGGGCAGTTTGTGCCCTGACTGACGTGTGCTGGGGAACCCAGGTTGGGCCTTCGTGAAGAGCATAAAGCACACTTAGCTGCTGAGCCATCTCTCCAGCTCCATGAATTTATTAAATTAATTGTGTACATGAGAGAACAGTGTGTGCGAGTCAGTTCTTTCTAGCATGTCAGCCCTGGGGCTCCAACTCAGGTCACGAGGCTTTGGTGCCAGTGTCTTTATCCTCTAAGTCATCTCACTGACTCGTATTAACACACAAGATGGCTTTTAGGTCTTACACAGGGCTTCACGAAGATGGTCATCTCTCCCCCAAATGGACTGCCTTTCACTGCCTAGTTTGAAACTAAAGCTGTAAAAATTTTGGCCTCATGCTTGGTGGTAGGGAGACTGGAAAATAATTTATACTGGTTTGTTTCTGGATTTTATGTTTTAGCTTTGGACTTTGCTATCCTGTTGCCAGTGTTAATAAACAACTGTTCTTTGCCCTAATTTACTGCATTTCTCTTTTACCTATTGTTTGTTTTACATCCAGCTGCTCTGTTTTGATTTTCCTTTGTCCAAACAATAGGAAGAAAAGATTTCCCAGCTTTGATTTTGCTGTTAAAACAATAGTAGAAGAGTAGAATAAATTTCAAGCTTACTAAAGTATGTAGACTAATAAAGAGGAAAAAATCATTAAAAAGATATCCTTTTATGGCTACTGCAACTCTTGCTATAACAGGTTCTGGAATGGTGGGATAAGCAAGTGGAGTTACAACTGCCGTCGCTGCTGAAGCGCCAATAAATCTTGTCATCTGACTGCTGGGAACCATGTGTGTGCCAACAGATGCTGAATTGCCCATAGTGTGTCCTGACTCTTTAAATAATAGAAATATAGGGGCTGGAGAGATGGCTCAGCAGTTATGCACACTGTCTGCTCTTTCAGGGGTCCTGAGTTCAATTCCCAGCAACAGCGTGGTGTTTCACAACTATCTATACTGGATCTGATGCCCTCTTCTGACATGCAGGTGTACATGCAGATAGAGCACTCTTATACATAAAATAAATAAATATTAAAAAATAAAAATACACTAAATCAGAAATAATTTTAAAGTGATGCTAGGGCTTGAAACTAGGATGTCACAGATGCTAGGTCTATCACTGAGCCACACACAAGCCCTTACATCAAACGTTAATGGACTTGGCTACATTAAATTCCTAGACCCAGGCTGAGTACAGATGTAGCCTGAGACGCAGTACAGTTGGCAGAGTATCGGCCTACCATGCACAAAGGCCTGGGCTTGATCTGCAGTATTGCATAAAATAGACATGATGGCACATAATTATACTCAGTATTTGGGAGGTAGAAGCAGGAGGATCAGAAGTTCAGCAACTGCGATGGCTTCACAGTGAATTCAAGGCAAACCTTTAAAAAATGAGAAAAAATAAAGATACATATTTATCTTTAAACCATAGGAATGGCAAAGTGGACAAGAGAAACAATTTTATTTTTGGCCTTTTTATTTTAGCAATTTGGGGTTTGCATTCTATTTTCAGATGACTAACCAACTGTTCCCAGTGATCCCCCATGTTGAAATTTATTCTAGAACATCGTTGAATTAGAAGATCATGGTCCTTCTGTCCCCAAGACAGATCCTATAAATAGGGAAACATCTCTTGTTAGATACAAATTGATCCAGTAGCAAAAAAGGAAAAAACAAAACAAAGTAAAAACAGAAAACCAAAAACAATCTGTTACTCAATCTGGACAGAAATTAGTGTCAGGTTTGTAAATCCAAACCTGTCACCATCACACTGTCCTTCTGTCACACTTGTTTCAAGACAGCCTCACATAGTCCAGGTTGGCCTTGAACTCCTTCATCATCCTGCCTCTACGGGCCAAATATAGTAGTCAGAGGCACTGTGCCTGGCTCATCTATGCTTTAAAAGACAAATCCCGTAATTCCCACTTCCAATAAATATACAGACTAATATTTACAATCTGATTATTAAAAATTTTCACAAACTCTGTGTAAAGATTTACCCTGAGACAATAGTGAGCAAAGGGGGAGTTTCCTAGAAATAAAATGACAGAAGGCAGATTGGTCCCAGTAACAGAAGCAAGAGCATTCTGCTGCTGTGAGTGCGAAAGCGAGTAGAACGACGTCAGATGGGATGAAGGAGCGTCTGTAGCAGAGCCGAGGACTGCAGACAGTAGTTGCAACATGCATGACTATAATATCACAAAGACAGGGACAGGCACAAGCAGCCATATTCTCTGATAAGTGGTGGGATTTGGGGGGGCACTGGGATCAGTGGTATCACATTACTTCTCTCCATCCAAGTTCCCTACAGATGGGGGCTGAGACATGGCTTAAGTGTACTAAAGAAAAAGAACAAGAGCCCCTTTTAGCCATTGTTTGCCCGAATCCCTAGCCCTCTCTACATGGACACTGGAGAACTGGATTTGTGCTGATGCTGTACTTTAGTTTGTATCCAGTCTACCATCAAATTACCCCCTTTGCTCACTCTGAAGAACATTGCTTTTTAGTTCTTTGTAACAAGAGTAATTTCAAAAAGCTCTGAAAAGTCAGTAAGTTGGTTAATCTTCAGTAATAAGAATCCCCTTTGCCTTAGCCTCCCTCAGTCCTGTATGATTACATCATCATCATCATCATCATCATCTTCCTCCTCCTCCTCTTCTTCCTCACCATCTTCTGGAAGTTCTTCATCCTCCTCCTCCTCCTCTTCATCTAGACAAACTACCACCTCTGCTGGCTTAGGCAATCGAGAGTCAAACCAGTCCAGCACCTGCTGAGTGCTAAGCCTTGATGCCTGACTCAGTTTAGGGATATCAGCTTCCTGCAGTTGCTGGTGGGCTGCCCAGTACCTCTCCAAAGGTTGTATATCTGGTGGGGGTGGTGGGGCTGGCAGAGGTGGTGTCTTGGCCCATTCTTTCAAGGAATGAGTTGATGGGGTAGGAATGGCTGGATCTTGAAAACTAGGGCTACCAAGCACTGCATTGTCCCGAAACCACTTCAGCTGTCCATGTTTCAAGGCATACCGCGTGTCGCCAAACCACTGAATGATCTCAGGGCGCGGTAAACCAGTGATCTGTTCCAGTTTATGGTAATCTTCCCGTCGTGCCCACTGGCATTGTAGAAAAAAGGATTTGAGGATGGCCAGCTGTTCTTTGGTTTTACGCTTAGTCTTTCGCTGGTGTTGCGTATCTGGGGAAAGGTATTCTGTGGGGCCAGCCCTACTTGCTACTGAGTTATTCCGTAGCCTTTGGGGCCAGGGTAGCTCTACTTGTGGAGACAGTGCTTGCTCACTAGGTAAGAATGACTGTGGGATATAGGCCAAAGGCTGAAGGGGTTTAGGGGTGGCAGTGGTTCCATTAGCCAAAACCTGGAAAGAGGGAGAAGAGGTGGAAGAAGATGGAGGTGTCCCACAAGGTACAGATTCCTCCTCACCACTACTGTCAAGTAGTGAGATCAGTGGGGTTTTCTCTGGCTGATGGACAGCTGTGCAGTTTTTCCAAGAAGCAGGCCCTCCACATGACTGGTCGGGACCCCTGCCTGCCTGCTCCTGAGGGATGCCACTGATCTGAAGATCCTGACAAAAATCTGATTGGTGGGGGGATGCTCTGCTGCCTGTCATCAGAGGTTCCTTCACTTTCTGATGACACTGTGGCAGCTGTGGTACCCGCGAGGACCCCTCAGGCTCAACCTTCAGTTCTTTCATCTCACTGGGCTCACTCAGCGCTGGAGGACACAGTCCAAGAGCAACATGCTCTGGAGGGGCCACTGGAGGCAGCTCCTGTGGGGGCTGCACTGCGTGATGCGTAAAAGAGAGGAGAGATTTGAAATGGAGCTGATCTCGGTGGTACACCACGCGGGCTCGGGTCTCCTCGATCTCTTCAGAGGACCAGCTAATGCCACAGCGGAGGCGCTGGGCCATGAACCAGGTCTTTACCTTCTCCATCTGCAGCCCATACCGAAGGCAGAGGAGAGCGATATCTGCCAGGCTTGGATAGGGGAAGTAGCTGAAGGTTTGCAGCAGGTGCTCGTTTCCATCCAGCTCGCTGGTTTGGGCTGCTTGAGTCCAGACAAGCTGTAGCTCCTCAGAGACGGGTGGGAGGCAGATGAGCCCTGCTGCCGAGCTGTTAAGACTGCTGGCATCTTTATTAGGAGGCATGATGTGCTCTGACTTGTGCCCTTCAGGGACAGCTGTAAAAAGAGAAACAGCTCCATCACCACTTAATTTTTACCAAACTGCTGGACACCAAACAATTTTCTATTTGACTCAAGTTATATTGCTCCTAAAATGCTTCAATCATTTCTCAATTTTCACAATCTTGTCATCAGAACCTGCTGTAATTCCTGGTTCTTTGTATGAAACACAAGTTCATGGAAGATGGGGAAAAAAATGACCCTAAGTTACATGACAAAAACCTGTCTTTAGAGGCTAAGGGAAAAAAAAATTATCCTCCCATAGCCTTTACCTTTTCATCTTCAATTGGCTTCTGAAAGCTATCACTCAGCTCTCACCTTTAAGTTCATGGAACAGTACTCATTCTGAATACTTAACTGCAAAAATAGGACCTCGTGCAGTAATCTCAGAGCGATTACTCTTTAGCGCCTAACAATCGCGGGTTACTTCCAGAATGTGGAGACAGGGAAACAAGCTATCAAGTCAGGCCTGAGAGTGTACACCCACAATCCCAGCACTTGGGAGACAGTCATAGGGCCAGGAGTTCAAGGACAGCGTAAACTACATAAAACCCTGTCTCAAAACATACAAAAGGCCAACAACAACAAACATGCTGTCCAGCCCTTATGCCCATCCCTTCTTGGTGATGGAGTGAGTACTGGGAACAGGAGACTGGATTCACAGTGCCCCAAGGCCCTAAACTCTAGATAGGTTTTCCCCATCCCAGTAAGAAGACTCAGAGACCAGGACCTCAGGATAAAAGAACCTTACTCCTCTTGGGTTGGGTCTTGTGGAGAGGGGAGTTTCCTTCCTGTCAGCTTAGTAAAGGTTATCTCTCCCTGAGTATGTCACCTCTCACAGCTCAGCCGAAGGAGCCAGAGACGACCCCCTTCCCATTAACAGCCCGCTCCACAATGGTCAGAAAGGTCCCTGCTCTCATCTCTTCAGTCCAGCTTGCTCCTCAATACCAACTAAGGTTTTTTAAACAGGACGGCTAGTTCTCAGGATTATGGGCAACAGGACCTATTCCTCCCTCAATGCCTGGTGAGGTCAGTTCCCAGAATATCCTGTAAACATTTTAACTCGGCTCCCTCCTTACGAATTAGGTGCTGTATCACATCACACTTTATTCTTGGAGAAATCCTACAGGCGTTTATATTACTTCCGGTCTGTTGAGGATAGGATAAGATTCCCACTTGAATGCTACTGATTGGAAAACATATTTCAAGATCTTCCAGCACAAAGGTCACAGACAGGATGGTGCCTCCTGTTCAGGTCTCTCTGCTTATCAAGTTCAGCCGATACTCCACCCTGATCCTCGGCATGGCCTATGGCGCCAAACGATACAGTTACCTGAAACCTCGGGCCAGGGAGGAAAGGAGAGTAGCAGCAGAAGAAAAGATGGGATGAAACGCATTGAGAGAGAACTAGCATCAGCTCAAGATGACAGCACCTTCAAGTGATGCACCAGTGAGCTGGCTTTTCACTAGCCGCTGAGGATGATAAAGCTTTGCTGTATATTAAAAAAAGAAGAAAGAAAAACATATTTCAAGTCCTCAGAAGTGTATCAGGGATTACTGTTTTCACTTCTTTGGAGACCTTCTCCAGCCTTCGCAAGTGCTCCAGCACCAAGAGGTCAAGCCCAGAGGGCTTTATTTTAATTTTCTAAGTTTTTAATTAGATTTTATTACTGCTTAAGCTGCATGCACGTATGCATCATATACATGCTTGGTGGCCTCAACGATCAGAAGAGGGCATCAGATCTCCTGGAACTGGAGTTACAGTTGGTTGTATGATACAGGATTTATTTTATTTTTATAAGCAGGGTTTCTCGGTGTAGTGTTGGCTGTCCTGGACTGACTCTGTCGACCAGGCTGGCCTTGAACTCACAGAGCTCTCCCTCTGACTCTGCCTCCCAGAGAGCTGGGATTACAGGGATCACAGGTGTGCGCCACCGTGCCCAGCTTTTTTTCTTTTAATTATTCTTTTTTGTAATGGTTTATTTGTTCTTATTTTGTGTGCATGGTGTTTCGCCTGCATGTAAGTCTGTATGAGGGTGTCAAATAGCCCAGAGCTGGATTACACACAGTTTTAAACTACCCATGTGGGTTTGGGGAATTGGACCCGGGTCCTTTAAGAGCAGCCAGTGCTCTTTAACTACTAAGCCATTTCTCCAGCCTCCAAAATCCCGTTTCTAGTTGTGAGCTTTCAGCTTGAATATTATAAACAAGGTTAAGTGAAGTCAACCGTAGGTCAAGAGGTGGAACAAGCAATCAGTTGACAGGAAGAAAACACAGGAAAAAAAAAAAAAACATAAGAGACTGAGAGGACAGGTAGAGAGATGCACAGGAAGTAGAAAGGAGGGACATTGAGTTTCAAGGGTTTTTAAGACAGCCTGGAGAAAGAGCCTTTTCCCTCTATGACATCAGCTGAGACGATCAGCCAGCTCTGTATGGGTCACTGAAACCCGATGGACCCTCTGTTCCATTTCCCCCCTCTGTAAAGAATGCTGCGCTTACAGAAAAGTTACACATGGTCACCGAGCGTCTGCTGTGTGCCAGGTACCATGACGTCAGAAACAGCAGCTTTTGGAGAGGGAGGTTTGGGGTGTGGCTGACTTGAGGTTCGAGGCAACTTCCCTGCTTTCTAGAGCAATGTTTGTCCTTAGCCAAGTTATTTCACATAAGGCTTAGTTTCTTATCAGAGAAAAAGGTACCTACCTGGAAAGTTCTAGACTGGGTAGAAGCCAGTCTTCCGGTTGGCACACGCTCTACCACTGAGCTATACAGCTCCAGCCCCCATGATTTTTACATTCTATATTTTGGGGTTTGGAAACAATTTCAGAATGGATTTTGCTAACTGGAGATAGATAGATAGATAGATAGATAGATAGATAGATAGATAGATAGATAGATAGATAGATATAGATATATACAGATATAGAGAGATATATCTATGGAGACATATTTCTCCATATGAGTGCTGGAGAGAAGACTCCACACGAGTTCCTGGCTGCCCTTTCAGGGGACCCAGGTTCAGTTTTAGCACCCACATGGCAGCTCACAACCATCTATAACTCCAGTTCCAGGAGATCTAATGCCACCTTCTGGCCCCTGTGAATATCGCATGCATATGGTACACAGACATGTGAAACACCAATACAAGTAAAATTTAAAAAAAAAGAAAGAAAAAAAGGAAGGAAGGAAGGAAGGAAGGAAGGAAGGAAGAAAGAAAGAAAGAAAGAAAGAAAGAAAGAAAGAAAGAAAGAAAG